CTCTAGTAGAAGAGACTGGACTAACTGCTCCCCCGAGGCCACGCTCTCATGCCGCTCTCATCGCTACGACCCACTGCGCGACCCTCCGCACCACGTCTGACAGCTACCTTCCCCTGAGCCAGGGCCGACACCCCGCCTTGCGGCCGCCCTCCTGCCTGGGCTCCCGAAAGCCGAGGCAAAGCCTTCTCTGTCGGAAGGGCGGGTGTGGCTGCGACCCCCGAGCTCTCTCCGACCGCGGAGGCGAGTAACGGTCGCAGCTCGGACCTCGCGCACTGGCCCGGCTCCCCCACCCTCCCCCAACTACAATTCCCAGAGGCCTCTTCGGCGAGCCGTTCACCGCGGAGACGGGCCGGGCTCGTGGGCTCTACAACCGTCGGCGGTCTGGGCATGAGGAACAGTCCCCACAGCTTCCAAACAGACAGGTCACGTGTCCCTGCCACCCAGGCCTTGGTCTTGGGTCCGAGGAGACGGAGCCCTTGCGCCGGAGAGAGGCCATGGAAAGACAGAACTACAGTTCCCAGAGGGCCCCGGGTGCACTCCGCTTCCGGTCGCGCGGCACCGAATCGGTAGCACCGAACTGTTGCTAAAGGAGACAAACCCCGAGTATTTGAGCTCCTGAAGCCCGTGAACAGAGGAGCGAGAGACAGAGAAGAGGGATAGAGGAGGAAAGGAGAATGGGAAACTTGGTTATGAAGCAACGGCAGGGAGCACATCCCCGCCTGTTTACCTTTTCCACGGACGCTCAGGGCCGGAGCGAGCCTCGCACAGCCCTCCGGGAAATGCAGGCGACGCCGCACTAAGGCCTATGGGAACCGTAGTCATTGATTAACTGTCACTACGTTGAGCACCTGCGAAAAACCCGGCAAGCTGAACGTAGTGCCAGAGGGAGGCTTGAGTCGCCTTCTTCCTTCTTGTCCACCCAAGCACAAAATTTACCTCCTACACAGTTACAGAACCTGTCCCGTTTTCAATGCCGTATTTCAGACATTCCGCATTTCCTAGTCGACCCCAGTCATGTTCCCCTAAGTCTAGTCTCTACGGCCACCAAAATAATTGTCCCTGTTCTGCTTAGGGCTATTCAGCAGCTAATAGAATCAAGTCCGGGTCCATGCTCCTTGACCGACATATATATTTGACCTAACTTACTGTCTTACGCTAGCTTCCTCATACGTAAGAACCATTCTTTTTAGGGGGCGCCTGGGTGGCTCAGTCTGTTGAGCCTCCAATTCTTGATTTCAGTTCAGGTCATGATCCCAGGATCATAGGATCGAGTCCCGTGTGGGGGCCTGCTTAAGATTCTCTCTCTCCTTCTGCCCCTCTCCCCTGCTCGCGCGCTCTCTCTCTCTCTCAAAAAAAGGACCATTCTATTTAGATTGTTCATCTCATTTGTGATTGATACCTTAAAACCATTGTCACCGCTTTTTTTTTTTTTTAAGTTTGTATATTTATTTTGAGAGAGGGAGAGAGGAATCCCAAGCAGGCTCTGAGCTGTTAGCCTGGAGCTGGATGCAGGGTTCTAACCCACGAACCCTTAGGTCATTACCTGAGCTGAAACCGAGAGTTGGAGGTTTAACAGACTGAGCCACCCAGGCGCCCTGTCACTATTTTTTTTTTTTAATGCAAAGCACAACTTCCTGCTTTTAACCGTTGCACCCCCCAAAAAGGGTGCTAAATTCCAAGTGTAGTTGGATTTGCAAAATATTCTTGAAACGTACTTGAAATAGGTTTCTATAAGTAGAAACCAAGTCACTAAATACTTTGATAAAATCAGAATTTTATTCCTCTGGACAAAATATTTCATTACATGATATGGGTAACACACACGTGGGTGTTTTCCAGGCCTCGTAAAGTCACACAAAAGAGGGAAAAAAGGATAGTTCTGTATAAACTCCACAAAACTCGTTAGACAAAATGCAACATAGGTGAGTTATTTTTATTTTACATAGCACTTTGAAAGTCCAAAAACTAAAATTAGGCTCCCATACAAAGACCTGCTTAAGCGTGAGGTAAATCTGCACTGAGGCTTTAGAGGAAGGAGGCATACTTTTTAAAGCTATCAGGAGGCCTAGATACGAATGAACCGTAGAGTGCAGGAAGACAGATGAGGTGTTGCTCACATCAAAGCACTGAGAACTTTCCTTTTGAAGTGGGAATACTTGGCAGACACAACATTTCCATTGGCTTTTAACTTTGGTAGGAAGAATGGCCAGTATCATAAATGTAGAGAATTATTTAACTGATAAAGCAGTTTCGAAGTCACATCAAAAACATGTAATCTGTTACCGTTTCAAAAGCAGAGGAGCTTCCTCCCTCCTCGCTAATTTAATTCCTTTGGATTTGGTTTTTAAAACGGGATCCTTCATTTGTTGCTTGAGGAAAGAATACATCTGTTGAGAAAGTATCAGCCAAGGCCAAGATATTCCCAACCACCAGGTGGGGAAGGTTAAAGTCAAGACCTAGAAGACATAGTTCAGCATAATTTTCTTAAGTGGTACAAACAGATACTTTTTTAATGGGTATCTTTTTTTTTTTTTTAAACTCTTGTACGTCTTCGGTTACCAGCAAATCTCTACTCTTTGTTCTAACAATTTCGCCTACGCTTTGGATACAAGGGTCTTCTGCTGTTCCACAAAAAGTATACTGATCTCCAGCAGCTTCCCTGAGCACTTTCCAGATGTGGACACTCAGGGTGTGATAGGAGTGACTCACGCATAGCCTTCTTTGCAAGCTACAGCTTCAGTACTCTCCCATCGTTGACTGGTGTCAGGAAATCGAAGGCTAAGTTCTCTCTGCAACAGACTTGCAAGCCACTTTCTGGGTGCCTGGGCTTCAAGAACGGTTATTTGCCCTGGAGTGCTGTGCTTGTGGCTTCACTAGGTTGTCTCGGGGGTGACATTCTCTCCCTTGTTCACTGGTGGACTCATCTGTCCCGTTACCACGGGACAGGGGAGAGAGCAGGGGCGTGGGTGGGGTCCAGCTCTGTCCCTGTCCCTAACTTGCTGGGTCACCTCGGACTGGTCATTTGTCATCTCCCCTTACTCCCCACAAGCCTGCTCCTCTTCCGTTAATGCCGCAGCGAGCAGCATCTGGGGCGGGCTGAATTATGGCCCCCGAAGATCTCGGGTCCCAGTCCCTGGGACACATGCTGTTTCGTGACATCTTCGCAGATGTGATTAAGTGAGGGATCTTTAGGTGGGCACTTCATGCAATTATAAGTGTCCTTATAATGAAGCGGCAGAGGGAGGCTTGAGTCAGATACAGAGAGGTATGTTCCGTGGGCCATGCCAGTCGTGCACTTGACAGGAGACGGCCAGTAGGGTGGCCAGTGACACGCTGACAGAGGTCAGGAAGGCAACCAGAGGACGCGCCCCAATAGTAGCACAAACACTGTCCGGACACCCTGACACTGCAAGGAAATGGACTAGAACCTTGAATTGATTAAATATTTATCCCAGAGACTGAACTAACCTGGAAACTTAGAATCAACTGTTTTTCTATGTCTTGTGATCTAAAAAAAACAGTTGATTCTCATTCTCCATGGCCCTTACATTCTGTAAACTCGCCATGCACACTGGATTAGGGAATACCGAACCATCGCTTCTGGGTAAATACAGGGTTGTGTTCCTGTGCACCTCTGACCACACTTTCATCAGCCATCAACACGTAACCTTGTTTTATGGATGCTTCTGTTTACATTTCTTTTTATTTTTTATTCAAAATATTTTTTGATGTTATTTTTTGAAACAGAAAAGCACAAGCTGTGGAGAGGTAGAGAGGGAGACAGGAACCGAGGAGGGCTCCCCGCTGACAGCAGACAGCCCGATGCGGGGCTCGAACTCACGAGCGATGAGATCATGACCTCAGCTGACGTCAGCCGCTTAGCTGACTGAGCCACCCAGGCGCCCCTATTATTTTTTATTTCAGAGAGAAAGAGAGTGTGAGAGCATGTGAGCAGGGGAGGGGGCGGAGAGACAGAGAGAATCTCAACCAGGCTCCATGCTCAGTGTGGAGCCCGATGTGGGGCTTGATCCCACCACTCCGCAATCGTGACCTGAACGGAAATCAAGAGTCGGGCGCTCAACTGACTGCGCCGCCCAGGCGCCCCTGGACGCTTCAGTTTAAAGACACCTTATTTAATATGTGTTGTTGATTCACTGAACTTACAGCCGACAGCGCTATAACTCACGCTGGAATGAAGCTCATCTAAAGTACTTGTTTCGTCTGTAAGGCACATCGCAGCCTTTCTGCGCTTAGGAACACCAGCCAGTGCTTCAGCTGGTGTTCGGGGGTCATTTTAAACAGCGAACCACTCACAAAGAGCACACAAATGTGAAAATGTGGTGCTAAACAGGCTGTGACAGGGACACCCGTTTACAGTAGGACAGCTGAAACAAGAAGGCAGAGCGTGGCCTTGATCAGCCTCCACTGGAAATGCGCATGTCTGGGGTTCAGATTTTTTTGCCACTCTGAATAATGGTGAAAGTTGAGTTGTTGGTCTGGGGGTTACAACTACATTGCAGCCAGTAGGCAATCTGCAAATGCAGAACCCATGAATGAGGATCAACTGTACCTTTCTCTGGCCTCAAGTGTGGTCCAGGTCTCCCCATTATCTAGGAGGATGGGAGTGTGGGCTTTAGACCAATTACAGAAAATCCAGAATCCGTAACTTTTCCCCATATCTAAGGTGCAGTACTTAAATTCTGAACTCAACCTCGCCACCATCTAGAGGAACAGAATGGCAGTTCCATGAGGGTGGAGATTTTTATGTTTTGTTCATGCTGTACGTGGTCGGCGGCTCGAACAGTGTAACACGACAAGTCGGTATTTGTTGAGTGAATTAAGGAATGAAAATCCCATTCAAACCAACACACACGAATGAAACTACTATTGTATCGTTTGGCTCGGACAGTTATAATTCCTCTTGACGTCTAGGAAGAGGAAAGAAAAACACCTCAGCTTTCCAGCTCTTGGAGAGATCCGGGGCAAAGGAATCAGAATTTGACAATAGGATTTTCTCAACTGAACGAAGGATAGAGAACGAACGGTAGGAGTCAACTCCCTGGTAGACTGGTACCTTAGAGCAGACAAGGAAAAGCTCTTCTACGGCCACGGGGAGGACACATCAATTAGCTGGACGAGATTCTAGATGTGCACTGGGAAATGAGCTGACCCCATCTGCAACGCGGAAGAGTCCGGATGAAGGCTGGTCACGTGATAATCGACATCTCCTCCCGGTCTCTGCTTTCAGACACTGAATTGACTATGCTCTTTAAATACTTTATGAACTCCACCCTGATCTCTTCAGGGTCATCCTCCAGGTTCGAGTGTACCAGCTTCAGCTTGTTCAAGGGGGGTGCTTGAGGAGGAAACAATGTAATTAGGCATGAGCTTTGAACCAGGGGCCATTTCTAGCTCCCGCTGACCCGAGTCTTAACAGAAGCCAATTTGTTTAACTTTCTAGGGTCCAAAAATAAAGGTGGGTCTTGCCTGCCATGATTTAACAGATGAAGGTTCTACCGATGCACTCACCATAGTGCTTGGCATATGACAAGTGCTCAATAAATAATGCCACCACACTGCCACCTGGCGTCCACTTCCAGGTCCTCTTTGTTCTTACACCAGAAAGGAAGAGATTTCTGAATGTTGCGAGTCGTTTTCCATGAACACTTTGTCACCTCTGTAATGGTGTGTGTTACATGCTAATGGGAGTTTTTCTGGAGAAAAGACCAGTCAGGAAAGAATGTCCCTAATAGTACTGATGAGTGGCTAAAACCAGGTTTCCCCCCTCTTGGTGTCTGCCTGCTTTTAAAGAGTCTCTTTCCTGGCCTGGATGCTATGACGGACAGATCTTCTAAGCTGGGGATGCCAATTTACATGGTAGGAAAAACAAATGCCCAGGACACATTAGATGCTCAATAATTGCACATAGCAGCTGGTTTCAAAGACCCAGAACAATATACAAGTGACCAGAACATTCAAGACAAGAGCGGGAAAGAGAATTCCAGCCTCCTTACACAAAGACAGGTTTCCTTTATCACTTCCGGAGCCTGGTTTGTGGTGTGCGATCAACAGACACTGAGTGTCCTGTAGGAGCTGCTGCTGGACGAAGCAGGAATACCACATGTCGATTTCCTTCAGGTGGCTTGGGGTGTCGGCATTGAAGACGATCACCACCCCGTGGGAATCCTTCATCAGGGCTGGCCAGCAAGACTCGAACCTGCAAGGCAGCACTGGATTCAGAGCGGATGTTAGGTGCTTCTGGTTTCTACCTGTGGGACTTTAGAAATAATGTCTTGGGGCGCCTGGGTGGCTCAGTCGGGTAAGCGCCCACTTTGGATCAGGTCACGATCTCGCGGTTCGTGAGTCTGAGCCCCACATGGGGCTCTGTGCTGACAGCTCAGAGCCTGGAGCCTGCTTCGGATTCCGTGTCTCCCTCTCTCTCTGCCCCTCCCCTGCTCACACGCTCTCTCTCTCTCTCTCTCAAAAATAAGTAAACATCAAAACAATTTATAAAAATAACGTCTTCGTGTTAATTGACAGATGACTTCTCATTGTGTCATAACCCGATCCTTAAAGTTCTCAAGAGCGGTGCCCATCACCAAATAATTGATCAAGCCCCTAATACATGCTAGGGAGTGTGCTGGGCCCGGGTCCAGGGTGCTTGGCGGGCAGCTGGGTTTTGAGCCATCTGATGAAGCAAACCCTCTTTAAAGGAAACATACGTACTTGGGGTCACCGCCACAATCCCACAGCTCAAATTCACACGCCGTGCCTTTGTCGTTGCTGGTGACGTGTGGGTTCTCAAATTCCAGGATCCTGAGAGATAAAAACAGGGGCAGCATCTCTACTTTGGGCACGTTATACTCGTGGGATGCCACTGTCACCCAGAGAAGCGGGGGGCCCTCGGGGAGACAGATTTGTCGGGGCTCACCTTACTCCCTGGGTCGGATTGTATTCGGTGATGTCAGAAGATTCAGTCAGGAAGTTGGCCAAAACGGTTTTTCCACTCTGTGGAAGTGAAAATGATAAAAGGGCTGTGCTGAAGGGCAGGAAAGTAACCACAAGCGAGCTTCCAGTAGCCGGCTTGGAACCGGGCGTGGTGGCCACCACGGGATTGCCACGGCAGAGGGCTCTCTCCGCTTGGGAGGAGCTCGCTGCCTTACTGTATGTGGTGGGCACGGCCTGCCCTGGGACCCGGGGTGCATGGGGTTCTAATGCTGTCTCTGCCGCTGGGTGACCTTACCCACACTGACGTCCCTGGCTGGCTCTCCATTAACTTGTCTGAGAACAGAAGGGAATTGTTAGCGTGAGTCTGTCTGCTGCCACGTTCCTCTCCGCATCAAGAAACCTCCCCTGAGGCCCAGAAAGGGGAAGGGAGTTCCTCAAGGTCACAGAGAAGTTCAAAGGCAGAGCTGGGTCCCTCAGTGGCTGGCCATGCCACACCGTCACACAGGGCCATTCCTCCGTTCCTCCTTCTAGATAATACAAGTCCCACACGTCGCTAGTACCAAAACAGCCATCCGGGGCCCTCTGCCCCAAACACCCATCCGTCTGTCCGCTCCACTCCCTCCCCAAAGGTAATGACTATGATCCGTCTTCAGGTATTTTCTGTACATTTGTGCCATTCGTTTCACAAATATTGTATATGCTCGGATAGAAGACAAGGGGTTTTTCTTCCCCCCAAATTATTCCTCAGAAGGGAATCTCTTACACTTGAGTCCTGTAGAAATCTCTGAAATTAGGCCCTGCTCTCTCGGTTGTTTTATTTTGAACAATTGCTTGGCTAGAACAATTTCAATCAATGCCAGTTTGGGGGGCTTGTAGAAGTCACTTGAAAGAATCAGAAAAAGGGGGGGGGATGAAGGCTTAATACAGTGCTAGTAATTTTTCCCGAGCATGCGGCCTCACAAATTAAATGTCACTTAAAAATAACACAGTTGAGTGATTATGTTTGGGGAGATCACGAATGTTTATCTATAGGATGAACACATAAAGCAAATGGCCTGATGTTGTAGGAGTGGCTCTTCGGGCTGGAGTACATTTCCAGGAACAGTGTCATATACAGATTCAAAAAGTCCTTATATCCTAAACTACTCAGATGATGGGCTTTGTGATGTCTTTTAAAAGTGGCTCTACTCATAAAATTAACTTGGGTGTCCAAGGTGCAGGAGAAGGGCTTGAATTTTAAAACTGTGTCGTGAGGCACGAGGGGCACCTGGGTGTCTCAGTTGGTTAAGCATCCAACTCTTGGTTTCGGCTCAGCTCTATCTCATGGTTCATGAGTTCAAGCCCCAAGTGGGGCTCTGTGCTTGGGATTCTTTCTCTCTCTCTGCCCCTTCCCTGCTCATGTGAATGCTCTCTCTCTCTCTCAAAATGAATAAATAAAACTTAAAAAAAAGCTATCATGAAATGCAAGTATGGAATAAAACAGCATATCCAAATTAATATATATTTTAATGTTCCTTTAAATGTATACATAAAACATTATAAAGGTGTATTGATATATTTCGTCTATGTCCTTAAAGTGTATATACACATGTTAGCCAAAACCAACTGATTGAGGGGAAGGATTCTTCTGGGAAAATGAAGAAGCTGCCTGTTTGGTACGTAAGGTATTTTTAAGTGTCTATCCTGCCAGGTGCTGTTGTAACACATACGATAAAATAGTCCTAAGTACTAGAATAAAAATCAAACAGGATGGTGCACCTGAGTGGCTCAATTAGGTGTCCGACTCTTGGTTTCAGTTCAGGGCATGATCTTGAGGTTCGTGGGTTTGAGCCCTGCATCAGGCTCCATGCCGGCAGCATGGAACCTGCCTAGGATTCTCTCTCACTCCCTCTCTCTCTCTGCCCCTCCCTGCTTGCTCTCTCGATTTGAAAAAAAATTAAAAAATCGGGGCATCTGGGTGGCTCAGTCCGGTTGAGCGTCCGACTTCAGCTCAGGTCATGATCTCACTGTTTCCAAGTTTGAGCCCTGCATTGGGCTCTGTGATGACAGCTCAGAGCCTGGAGCCTGTTTCGGATTCTCTCTCTCTCTCTCTCTCTCTTTGCCCCTCCTCTGCTCAGGTTGTCTCTCTCTCTCTCAAAAATAAATAAACACTAAAAAAAAAAATTAAAAAAATC